TGGGAAGGGTTTAGTTGAAGCTTTTCTTTTCTGCAACCTGAGCATCTGGTATTTTCAAATTAGGCACCTTCTAAATTTGACTCATACATTATGGAAATCTGATGACACGAAGGGTGGATAGGCTTGCTTTGATTTTATGAAATATTAATCATAGCTGTGATTAATGATTCAGCATTTCACATCTGGGTTATTCCTGTCATATCCGAAAATTACGCTATTAAATACAGTATATAAACTTAGAGGAGGTGGGGTCATATTAATTCTCTAGTGTCCCTTAAAAATTAAGCGGAAACTTAACAATATACCAGTGATAATCTGTGATGTTGACAGTTCCTGGCATATTTTATACCCTCCAGGACTTTTTGATGTAAATTAGAACACATCTCTTTGGGGAGCTGAAGCGATAGAACGTACCTTCCAGAGAGATGTTGTCTGCGGCTAGCCAAGTGGACTCTCCTTTTATTATGCAAGAGGGAAAGAAGTGGAGATGTCGCTCCTATAAAACTGTTCACGTTATTTTACCTGGGAAGCCACCACTCACCACTGCTGTCACTCTCTCCACCGCTAATACAGATCAGAGGCCGTGCAAAGTGCTTTATTTTTCTATTGTAAAGAAGGATGGGGGGGGGTCTTCAAAAAATTCATGGAAAATGCATATTATAAAGATAACTAAACATGGTTTCAAAAATTTTTTTGTATTAAAATAAACTTGTCTAATTGCCCTTTTCCGCCTGCGTTTCGCAGTCCCCTCGTGTCTGGAGTAGCTTAACGAGCATTACATGGGGCACTGGAGCCTTTCACTTAGATGGGCAGGATTTACTGGGCTCGAAATCTGACGCACCCTTTCTCCTGGTTGGTTTTCTCCTCCCCCTCGTTTTTCCGATTGCACCATTTGTAAGCTGTTATGGCTCTAAATACAATACTGGAAGGAAGTAGCCTAGTGAAAGACTGTTTTAAGACAAACGAGTAAAAAATAGGAACTTAAACAGGAATTGCTTGAGAGTCATTGGAGAATGTCGATTGATTTAGCAGCCTGAGCCCCCGACTTAGTGGAGATGTCGCTCCTATAAAACTGTTCACGTTATTTTACCTGGGAAGCCACCACTCACCACTGCTGTCACTCTCTCCACCGCTAATACAGATCAGAGGCCGTGCAAAGTGCTTTATTTTTCTATTGTAAAGAAGGATGGGGGGGGTCTTCAAAAAATTCATGGAAAATGCATATTATAAAGATAACTAAACATGGTTTCAAAAATTTTTTTGTATTAAAATAAACTTGTCTAATTGCCCTTTTCCGCCTGCGTTTCGCAGTCCCCTCGTGTCTGGAGTAGCTTAACGAGCATTACATGGGGCACTGGAGCCTTTCACTTAGATGGGCAGGATTTACTGGGCTCGAAATCTGACGCACCCTTTCTCCTGGTTGGTTTTCTCCTCCCCCTCGTTTTTCCGATTGCACCATTTGTAAGCTGTTATGGCTCTAAATACAATACTGGAAGGAAGTAGCCTAGTGAAAGACTGTTTTAAGACAAACGAGTAAAAAATAGGAACTTAAACAGGAATTGCTTGAGAGTCATTGGAGAATGTCGATTGATTTAGCAGCCTGAGCCCCCGACTTAGAACTCTGTGCCAGGCGGGCCAATGGCTGTTCTGTAGCTGCCCTGGTTAGTCCAGAAAATCAAATAAACTCTTCGGAGAGGGCAGGTCTCTTGTTACTGCTGTCGGTATTCGCTCAGTTCCTGCATCCTTAGGCACCGTCCCTGACCTTGCACTCTCCAGGCCTCAGGACTGCCCCGGGCAGCTGTGAGGCTCACTGCCATGCTGGGTGGAGCACGCTGGGTGCAGGCTGGCTGTGGCCACCCTTCTGGCCGGCTGTGCTGGGTGCACGGTGCTAGCCGTTTGCCTGTGCCTGTCTGCTTCACAGGAGCGGGGAGGGTTCACTTTGTGTATGTGTGTGGGGCATGGGGAGACCCTTTATTTTACCTGTTTAGTTTAGAGCATCTGAGACCTGCTTTCTAGAAACAGATGCTTAGGAAATGTTCTTATATTCTCTCTAGTTGTTTGAAAAATGAGTGCAGGTCCAGGCCCACCACAGTGGTGCAGGCAGCAGGATGCCACTGCACAGTACTGGAGCTGGGCAGGAAGGCCCGGGGTCTGGCCGCTGGGTCAGCCCGAACCCCCGGCTGTGATCAGGCACGCCCCTGGTCCTGTCTGGCTGGAGAGTGGGCGGAAGATTACAGCCTGGCAGGACCCTGTCACGGGTCTGTATGAAAAGAAAGAGACTTAAGTGAGTTAAGGCCCGGCCGCAGTGACATGGTGACAGGCATTATTGTGCCATGCTAGAACATACAGGAGACCTGGGCTTGCGCCCAGTGGGAGGATCAAAGCGTGGCAAGACCCTGTTGGAGTCACTGTGTATCTCATGAAGGAGAGACATACAATACGCTTTGAAAATCGTGAATCAGACGTACCCTAACAGTCAGTGAGGCCTACCAGTTCCTAGGAAACCACTGGTGGAGTTCCACCGTCAGTTCCCCACCGGGTACCTCTCCTGCAGGCGGGTGGTCACACTCGTTCTTGCTTTCTCGGGGCAGGCTTTGGTGTGTGCTGAGCTGTCAGCCACGCTTTGCTGCTAGCGGGGTGGAGTCTCACTCAGCTGTAGTTGGGACAGCTACACTTACTACAGACACTGGGATTGGATGGGCTTCCTCATCCCCCGCTGTTGTGGTGAACCGGACTCTGCAGTTCGCAGACTTGAGCGCGCATCACCCCGGGAGGTTGTTAGGACGGATCGGGGGTCCCTGGCTGGAGCCTCCGGCCCAGCACGTGTGCAGTGAGGCCGGGATCCCCTTTGGAAGAGTTCCTGATTGGCTGCGCTACCCTGGCGGCCCGGGGATCCCCGAGCTCAGTGCGGACGCCCTTTTGCTTTGAGACTCTTGTGCCCACTGCCGAAGTCCGGCTTACCTCAGTTGTAGCTTCTAAGTGCTACTTTTCTTTTTTTCTGTTGTTTCTTTTCCCTCCTAAACTCAGTCTACACTTCTTAATGAAATCAGAACAAAAACATTGTGAGGCGTCGCTCCAGCTGAGAGGAATGGACTTCCACATCTTTATTACTGAGAAATCCTACCCTTTGAGGGTAACCTCAGCTTTTCTCATATTTATGTTGCAAAAACACAAAGGCTCGGCCTCTGCATCCCTTTTCTTTTCTTTCTTTTTCAACATCTCCTCCCCTGAGAGATGGATTTCTGAGAGCGCGTGGCCCAGTGGAGGCAGCACCAAACGTCAGGTGCTGACCAGGCAACTGCAGTGGCAGGGGGAGCTCTGCCTGGTCTCAGACACCCCTTCCAGGCAGGCTTCTGCAGCAGGGAAGTAGTGGCAGCTGTTTGCCCTGCTTGTCTGCGAGAAACTAGCCCTCCTCCCCACTTGAAATGGTTAAGACTGTTCAAAGGCCAACAGGTGCCACAGTTTAAGGCAGCTAGATCCTACATAGCTGACTTCATGGTTTGAGTCCCGAACCCAGCAGCTTGAAAATCACCCCAGACGCCTGTGCTTGCGTGCCCAAAATCCTGAGAGGAGAATGGAGGAGAAGGGATTGTGGTGTAACCTTCTCCCCTGGGGGTGATTTCTCCCTTTCCCTTTCTCTGTATCTGTCCCTCTCTAGCAGGGTATGTGCTCTATAGCAAAGACAAAAAAAAAAACCAAAAAACAACTATTGGAGATGTGGATTAATCTCTATGCACTAACAAATTATGCCCCTGGCTTTAGCTGGTGGTGTTGGAAGCTATAGTGATTAGTAAAATAGAAAAGTTATTCTATAATTTCCGGTTTATCCTTTTAAAATGTCTGTTTGTTCCATATGTATTAGTGCAGTAGGTTTTGTGTGAATTACAAATGAATAAATACGGATGTTTTGAGGACTCTTAAATTCTCAAAAAATTGATTTTTTCAGTCAAAGATCCTGGAAGACCATGGCATTATTCTGCTTGCTGTACATTCATTCCCTGGGAACTGTATTTCATTGATAAGCCATATTGCTGGATTATCACTGCTTATAAGTTCTAATAACCAAATTTCAGGTTTTCTCCTTCACAGTCACAGACTTTGTGAAAGAGCATATTAATAGAACGAAGTGATGAAAAGTAAATAATACAAGGATTTAAATATTAGGTAAATGCTAAATTATAATAGATAAATAGTTCAATGCTGTAAGTTTTACAGAGTAGTTTCAAGTCCATACTGCTGTGGGGCCAGCCCAGACAGTGGCACAGTGGTAGAACATGACACTGCCAGGCAGTCCCACACGAGAAGGCTCCCAGTTCAAGTCTGGAGACCTCCTGGGTACCCCGTGCGTGCTGGTGCCCATGGTCGGGCTGACTGAAGGCTGCCCTGCGTGGTCGGGATCCCCCTGGAAGATGCGGGTGCACACACTCCCTCCCACTCTCGCAGTCTTTCTTGTGCTAGCAATCTTTTTTGCATGTTCTCTTGAAAGAAGTAAATAGAACTTTTTTAAATGTTTGTATTCCTATTGTCTATTATTTTTCTTCAGGAAAAAATGTTTTATCCTTTTTATGAAACCTTAAGGAAAATATAGTTTTAACCAGCCTCACTGAAATGCAGTTATAAACTTTTTATAGTTAGATTAAAACCAGATAGCACTAGGCATGTGTTGTGTTGTAGATACTAAATGCTTTTTTGGGGGAGAGATTTCTGCCATAGGGCGAGTGCCAGGGAGACAGGAAAGCGAGAAATCACCAACCAGGGGTGGCCATGCTAGGCTCCTCTCCATTCCCCTCTCCAGGTACTGAATTCTTTCGGAAATCACTCTACCGTCCTTCAGTTTGCGAGAACAGTATTAGTAAATAGCATATTCAGTTTCATTTACTCTACAGCTACATTCTGTTTTCAATGAAAAATAAAGAGTATTTACAAGGGAAAAATATGAAGTATACCAAAAGGTGTTTGTAGTACATCTGATTTCAGTACGACTGTTTTATTTGCCGCAGGAAGTATATGGGAAGCTACTCCACATAGAGAAACGTCAAGATCAGTTGCGAGCCCGTGGTCCACTTCCAGAAAAATCTGAAGCCAGGTAAGTTCCATGAAAACACATGTAAATTTTTAAATCCTCTTTTATTAAAACATGTAAAATTTTGGATTCTTTTTCATTGAAGGGCTTGTTTTGTTTACATAATATCTCCTTTGAGATCAATTGTGTACAGGCACAATTTTCATCTTTAAGAAATCTGGTGGCTTTTACTAGCAAATGAATTCCAGAGTGGCATATTTAACTCTTCAAACAAAACATGTGGTCCCTTTTCCAAAGTGCATTCAGGAAATGGAATATTTCTTGAGAATACGTTACCTGGGTGAAGTTACTGAGAATGATGTCACTTACTGGTATTTTTAGGAAATACCTCAAGCTTAAAGTTTGTTTACTATTTCAGCGTTAACGATTTAAGGTTGGGGTCAAAATAATAAGTGATTTTGTTTAGCAATAAGCAACTACTCAGGGGTTTTCATGCAGTTTCATCTCAGATGTATATATTCAATAGCATTTATTTACTATGTTTAGATATGCTATTCTCAGAAGTTTCATGTTTTTATGCACACTTATTTAGTATCTGCATCCTTTTTAAAATGCTTTTTATTTTAAGGTTGTGCTTCTGTTCAACAGACACTGACAGATCAAACCGGTCAGCCTGAGCAACCAGTTTTAAATTCTGTCCTGCCCAGAACAAGCAGTTACTGTAATAGCTATGTCGCTGTACTCCCATGTAGTCAACCGTGGTTCGAGTCCCGAACCCAGTGCCTTAAACTCACGCTGGGCACGTGTGTGTACATGCCAAGCTCCCGAGAGGAGAATGGAGGAGAAGGGTTTGCAGTGTGGCCATCCCCCCCGAGGGTGATTTCCTCACTTTCTGTCTTTGTTTTTCTGGCGAGCGCACATGCCCTATAGCAAAAAACTCTTAAAAAAAAATTCTGTCCTGCTTATTCACGTATTAGCTCGTGTAAGTTCACGCGAACCTCCAGCCCCGTATTTGGACTTGGTGACTACTTTAATTCATTGACAGGCTGATTTCGTTTGCATAACATCCCTTTGAAGTAATCGCACAGGCGCGGTTTTAATCTTTACGAAATCTGGTGGCTTTTAGCAGATGAATCCCAGAGTGGCATGTTTAACTCTTCAGACATGTGCCAGAGTGGGTCCCTTTTCTAAAGTGGACTCAGGAATTGGAGTACTGTTTATCAGTAGTGTTTACCTGGATGAAATGACTGGTACATCATATAAGAATTTGCTTTCAAATCATGAATTGCGACTATATGTGGGATCTTTTGTGATATAACTCTAATTGCATGGCTAATTAAAAAGAGAATATATGTGATATTTTAGCAGAGACCTGATTGGCAGCAGATGGCTGATTAAGGAGGAACTAGAAGAAATGTTAGTGGAAAAACTGTCAGATCAAGATGTGAGTAATTAATCTTTTTAATTTAAGGGGACCCGTGCCTTGAGAATGCAGACAATTGCTGTATTGAGGATCCCAATAGTAACGTTCCTCTGAGGCAGGTGTACCTAAGACGGTCCCTCTCTTTAACAGGCTTTTCCTTGGCTTCTGCCGTGGGGCTCCCTTACCTGTGACCAGGAGGACCTGTGGGTCCCCACAGCCCCGTCAGTGCCCTGTGCTCGCTGCCAGTGTTTCAGAGGAGTGTGGCAGATGTCGTTTTTCTTCTCCCGCAGGAAGGGCGATAGCTAATTTTACAGGCTCATGTAAGGGCGAGGGGCCATTGCAGGGTGAATAGGAAAGGGACTCAGCGCCTGGCCACCTCCCCGCGCGTTCTGCCCCCTGGCTTGCCATGCGTGCCGTATTGGTCAGGTCGGCGGTGTTCATCCTGGGATTCGCTGACCGCCTGCGTGGGAGTCACTTGGAATTCTGCTTCCAGAATGCCGTGTCCTGTGTCTCAGCCTGAAACTGGTGTCACCCGGGACTGCATCTTTTACAACTCCCCAGCGGAGTCTCACGCCCTGTAAAGTTTGTGACGCCTTTTTAGGTCTCCATTGCATTTTTATTTTGTGCAGTGTTTTAATGTATCCCAACATCGTGAGAGGAAGTTTGATGTTTTAAAGAGTTCGATGTTCTAAATTTAGATTCCTTCCTAGAAGGTCTAAGTGAAGGTACATTTCACCCATTTCTCCAAGAGACTCCTTTTCTCTTCCACGGGGATGGCGAACGCTCGTACCTTGCCATCATGTAGGTTAGTCATGTACCAGATGCTCTTTTTCTCATTTAATATATTGGAGAATGAAGGACTTGGAGAAGTTGCAGTTTGCTTAAACAAGGTGTCAGGCGTGTGGTTAGTGGTAGCTCTGACTTAATTTCTAATATCCTCACTGCCACGTAGTACTGCACTTAACTCTGAGCAATCTCTTTGCTTCTTCATTGAATACATCATTCCATTGTTCCCTCTGTTTTCTGGCTGCTTTGATTTTTATAATGAAGGATATTTTTTCCATTTGGGGAATATCCCAAAGACTTTAATATAGGTGTGCTATGAAAACGAAGTAAGCTAACCGTATAGGTCATGTCTGTACCTTTGGCTACGAGATATCAGAAGAACTCCTGGCAGTGATGACTGGTACCAAGATGCGGGAGGCCAGGGCGGGCCGTAGCTTCTGAAACCTTAGAGCCTGTTCACGAGCAAGGCTGTGCCATGCCTGTGGCTCCCTGCATAGGTTCAATCAGCTTCATTGAGAGGGTGCGGGATTGGGAACCAGCAGTTAGCGTAATGGCTGTGTTGCTGGACTCCCATGTAGTCGACCGCGGTTCATGTCCCGGACCTGGTGACTTAAAACTCACGCCGGGCACGTGTGCGTGCGTGCCCAAGATCTTGAGAGGAGAATGGAGGAGAAGGGATTGCGGCGTGACCATCCCCCCTGGGGGGTGATTTCTCGCTTTCTGTCTCTCTGTCTCTCTCTGTCTGGCGAGCGCACGCGCCCTATAGTGAAAAACCTCTCCAAAAAAAAAGAGAGGGCACGGGATGGAGCGACGGGAGTAGCCAAGCACAGAGGACACCGGCCAGTGCGACTAGAGGGGAAGCCTGGAGCCCTGGCAGGCCCACGGCCTTCGGTGGCAAAGCGTTTTACTTCGAAAACGACCATCTCTACTATTACATCCCAGGAAGCTGTATTTGAAGCCGCTCTTTTAATATCAGTCTTACTGGCGAGACTTTAAATAGTTCACGTTACCCTAATGGCAGATTCTCCCTGTAGCAGCAATGGTGACAAAGACGAGTGTGATTTTTAAGGCTGGCAAAAGCATAAATAAAGTAATCGAAAACTGGGTTTCACGGTCCAGATTAACTAAGGATCTTGAGTGTTAGTTGTTTCCTTCTCCATAAACACTTTAGGGTGATTATTCTGACTTCTCATTTTAAGGGGTTAATACCAAGTTGTTTACTTTCTAATCACATGTTCAAGAACTATTAAAAAAAATGCACAGAGTAGCAAGGATAATTTATTTCAAGAGGTTGCCCTTTAAGTCAAGTATCTCTTGAATTTTTAAATAGCTTGATTGTTCGGTTTTAAAGGAAATCATAAACATTAAAGTAACACAGCTTGAACAGTCAAAGATATATTTGCCAAATGTATTATGAAATATAATTTAAGAGGTACGTTTTCTAAAAATCAGACTCTCTGCATTTTACTACACATAACTTACTGGAAATTAGGTATCAAGCTCCTCTTGATATAGTGCTAATAAAAGAGCAGAAATTTCCCTTGAAGATCATCTAAATATTTCTTGAAAAATGAATTTAAATCTCAATATCCTAATCATAATACAGAGAAATGGATTTTTCTTTGAATATGAAATCTCTTTGTTTCTCGAAAGAAAAGATTGAGCACTAGAGAGACACCGGAGGAAGAGAGGCATCTGCATGCTGTTCTAAAAGCAGCGTGAAGGGGCAGGAGTGTCAGCCTGTCAAAATTCATCAAGAAAAGCAACATCGGAAAGATCAAGTATATAAAAATAGAAAAACTTTAGCAAATGCAATTACACTTGCATCTCCTAATGAATTTTTATTGTCTGCAGTATACGCAGTTCATCCGGCTGCTGGAGCGGTTGTTGACGATGCCGTGTAACACTGCCGAAGAGGAGTTTGTGCAGAGGTTTCGCAGGAGTGTAACTATTCAGTCTAAGAAGCAGCTGATCGAACCTGTGCAGTACGACGAGCGAGGGATGGCCTTCAGTAGGAGCGAGGGTAATGGCGCTCGATGGAGAGGTTATGTGCGGTGCAGGTGCAGACGCCGCCGTCCCTTTAGTCTCTGTTGCTCTCTTGTCCACTCGATGTTTTAGTTTATCTGGGCGACTGCTACACAGGATTCCCCCATTTTTAAGATTCTCCTGAGGTTGACTTTTTTTTTTTAATGAACCTTGTAACATCCCAGGAAAAAATGTGGATCCATACCTACACGATCCTATGAACACTTTTTTTATTTTCACATTCTTATGTTAAATCTCTTTATTTTCACATTTTCAACTGGCAGAGTTAATAAAATACTGGTATTAAAGGTTTCGTCCCCCAAAATGAAAATGCTTAGTGAATCTTCATGTCAAATGCTAAGATTATGTGTCATGAAAACTTTGGGTCCTCACCTCATAGTCCTTTTTTCCTTGTTTATATACCTGTTTCTATTTTTTAAATTGGCATGATAAATGTGAAACTCTTAAAAAAAGTAGCATCTTTTTTTTTTGTCATTTTCAATTCATATTTTCAGAGAGATATGACCTTTCCTGAAGATTCATTTCTCCTAACTATATTCCACCATCCTGCTCATGTATTTTTTAAAACAATATTATTAGGTGTATCCTTAGGGATTATAAAAGGAGAATGCCATGTGGATGGATTATTTTTAAGTCAGGTAAACGACTATGGATTATCTTATTAGTTGTTGATACTAATTTGTAAAATAACTGTAGTGTTCCCAACAGTGGACTTGAGTGGAACTACCCCACAATAAGTTCTGTCGCTTCTGCCGAGGTGTGGATTACCTGTTCTCTTTTTGCCTGACTTGCGAGAGAACTTTGCTGTGTACAGAGTTGTGTGTTGTCGTGATGGGAGGACAGGTTTCTGTGTGGTTTTGTGCCTGCCTCAAAGCACTGGTCTTTCACGTTTTCAGTAAGACTAAGTTGATGTTGTTAAAGGTAAGAGGAAGACTGCAACTGCAGAGGCCGTTGTCTATGGACAGGGAAGCGGGCGCATCAGCATAAACGGGACCGACTACCTGCTGTACTTCCCCGTCATGCAGGACAGGTGAGCGCTGGGCTTTGCTTTGGATACATCTTTTAAAAGTATTATTTATTTAATTTTATTTATTACTGTTATTATTATTTTGTTTGCTGTAGTGCACATGCATTTGCCAGAGAGAGAGAAGGAAAGTGAGAAAGCAGGCCACCAGGTCCAGGGTATGAACCATGGTCGGCCATGTGGGAGTCCAGCGCCTTAACCATCACGCCACCTGCCGGCCCAAGGATGAGATGCTTTTAATACGTTATGATCAACTAAGGAGGCTTGTGATTTTTCTGATCATCTAAATGATTATTTCTCTTTATCAATAAATTACTGTTATTATTATTTTGTTTGCTGTAGTGCACATGCATTTGCCAGAGAGAGAGAAGGAAAGTGAGAAAGCAGGCCACCAGGTCCAGGGTATGAACCATGGTCGGCCATGTGGGAGTCCAGCGCCTTAACCATCACGCCACCTGCCGGCCCAAGGATGAGATGCTTTTAATACGTTATGATCAACTAAGGAGGCTTGTGATTTTTCTGATCATCTAAATGATTATTTCTCTTTATCAATAAATCAAACTAATTAGAAGCTTTTTTTTTTTAATATAGTTAGTTTTCCAGATTCTAAAAAACAAGAAAATTCTAGGATTCCTCATGAATTGCCCTGTCTTTCTCTTCTCTTCAGGTCCTACTGGAATTTGAGTAGGTCTGTCTACGTTCTAAAATGCAGACATGCCATAATATAGGAAAAGTAGGTCTCCCCTTCCGGTTTGGGATGGGTGTGCTCGAAACCACCACCACAATAGCAGCCTAGCACTCGGAACTGATAAGCCACTAGGCAGGGCAAAGGACGAGCAGATTCCTTGTGCTCAGTGTGTGTTTTCCTGCTCATGAATATCAGAAAAGTCTGCTTCATCATTGTGGGTGTTTCCTATGCGGAGGAAGTGGGTCGTGCGCCTGCTGAGCAGGGGAAGATGTCTGACCGCTGTGGGTTAGCGTCGTGCCCGCGGGCCTGCCTCGTTCCCAGCGCTCAGTGGGGCCGATTTTTTTTTTCATTTTGTGTCCCACAGGAGTAGACACCAGTCACAGATAAGAGACTGCGTTTCTTCTGATCCCCTAATTTGCCCATCTCAGACCTGAGAGCTGCCACAGAGAGGCCTCTTCCCGAGATGGTTATTATTTTCCAGTAGTCACCATCATGACCCACAAGTAACAAGTTCAGTGCAATTCGTCCCTCCTTTCCTCATCCTGCTGCTCCCTGATTCCTGTTGTGGTATTTAAAGTCAGAAGGGCTGAAGCTCTTCTGATCCCCAGGCTTATGGAAGGCAGAGAGGCCCCTTCTAATGTAGCACAAGCTTCTGGGCAGAAAAATCGCTCAGGAGATGTATATTTACTTTATTTATGCGTGAGCCCATGTGAGGAAGCAATCCGCTCTTAAACTATTCCTCCCTTAACTAAACTCGTTAGCTCGACATGGATTAATCTGATTCTGCCAGGGGAGGGATAGAGGAGACTCTTACTTCTTTCAGGAAAAGCCCGTTAGAGAAAGCCCCCACCCCTCCCCTGGGGGATGAACTGCTCACTTCTCTTTCCAGGGTCATCTTTAGGAGTTGCTTTTACACAAATCACAAACTGGTCTTCAGGGATGTGGCTCTGTTGCCCTCCTGGTGTCATCAGAGATTCTTCAGTTCATTCCGTTATGCGGCAGACTTGTGTTGTTATGTTTCTGGCACTACGAGATGCAAAGATGAACACCTTTCCAAGGCAGAATGCCCTTTGCTCTGTTAGGCAACTGATAAAGCCTACCCTTAATTGATCATCTCTACAAAAGGAATCTGTGTCCCGCATAACACCAGCCACGTGATAGAGGGGAGAAGGTCGGCATTTTAAACAAGTATGGAATGATAAAACAGTATGCAATTATATATTAATTATAGGCTATAGAGTTAGTGCCAGAGAGGTAGTGTTCAGAGAACATGTCATGAGGAAATTATCTGTTACGCGTATTTATTTTTTAAATAATGCCGAAATGCTGATTTATGTGACAAAGAACAAAATGCATTTGGTTGTGGGACAGAGAGAGACAGACAGAGAAACAGGTACCCGCAAAAGGGCCCCTCCACACTGTGATCCTCCCCAGGCCGGCCTGGAGGGCCTCCCCAAGGCACCTTCTCAGCACACACAAGGAGACCTCAGGACGAGAACCTGGGGCCTTCCGTGCTCTCGAGCAGCAGCGTCGTGGAGTGTGTTACCTCTGTACCACTGCTCGGACCTAACTCGGTCTTTTCTAAGTCAGAATTTCATCTGCGATTCCTGACGACGAATTGTGAAATATTTCCGTGCCATGTAACTGGTTTTGCATTTGCCGGTTTGCCGTCCAGTGTAATGAATGTGGATATCTGTAGAGCCGTGGTTTCCATTTGCTACTCTTGCAGATATTTTCTCATCTGTTTACAGATTTGTGCTGGTCCCACAGCGGTCCATCAACTTCCCACCTGTCCAGACCTTTTTTTCCTTTATGAGGGAGGGCAAAAGAGAAAGCCGCAGACAGTGTTTCTGACAGGTCTCACTGTGTCGCGACTCCCGGCTGCATCTTCCCAACGAGCTAGGACCACAGCTGTGCACAAGCACACTGGCAGGCTCAGGGCGGCCCAGGAACCGAACCCGGGCCTCCCGCATGGCTTCATCCTGTCCCAAGTGGTAGTGCCACTCTGTACCACCAGGACTAGGGCCAGGCTTTCTTAATGGTTCTTTCTCACTTTGACCCCTCTGACTTCACTACTCTGACATATCACTAGTAATTATATCATGAAGTCTATTTTCTTTTTACATTTTTGTCTATTTTACTTATATTAACATCTGTAAGGGAATCTTAAATTTTTAACACTGAAGACATGTTTAAGCTACCAAGCACATGGTTATCCAGAAACTTCTCTTCTGTCACAAACCCATTTAACTGTGGTAAATGAAGACCCCCCACCTCCACCCCCATGCCACTGCCCACCCATGACGTACGCCCGAGACAGTCACACAGCTTCTGTCTGGGGGCCTTATCTCCTCTCTGGGTAAGAGCAGTGGTGGAGTGAGATTCTCTAACTTCTCTTTAGTTGTGTTACCACGGCTACCATTTATAGTCCTGTTTTTGTGACTTAGAGCTCTTTTCTGTTTGGTTGCTTTGAGGCATTGGTTCAGGAAAGCCATGTGTACGTTTCTTCCTGTGGGAGCATGTCAGCCCTGTGCAGTGCTATGGCCTTCCGGGGTTCTGTTCTGCCATCTGCATGTCGCATTTTGACTGTCGTGCGGAGAGGGCACCACCCGCTCGTTCCTTCTGTGCCTGTCTCTGGGGGTGGTCCAGTGCAGGCTGTAGCCTTTCACAGGTGACCATGTCAGGGCCGGCCGGTGCTGTGGTTCAGTGTTGGACTCGCATGGCTGACCTCGGTCTGAGTCTTGGACCAGGTGGCTTGCTTTCTCACTTGCCCTCTCTTCTGTCTCTGGTCAAATTAAAAAATAATAACAATAGTCAATACAAATAAATAAAACAAATTTTTTAAGAGAGATTTTTTGCTGTAGGGCACGTGCACTTGCTGGAGAGACAAAAAGACAGAAAGTGAGAAAACATTCCCCAGGAAGGAGATGGCCATGCTGCAATCCCCTCCCTGTTCTCTGCGGGATTTGGGCACACAGGCACAGGCGCCTGGCATGACTTTGAAGCTGCTGGGTCCTGGGCTTGAACCACGGTCAACTACTTGGGGGAGTCCAGCGGTGTAACAATTACGCCATCTGCTGGTCCCAAATAAATAATTATTTTAGAAAATCCTACATCAACATGAATGTGACCCACGACGCACATGCATCACAGTGCTTCTACTGAGCTCTAATGCTGTCTGAGAATTGACTGGGAAGGCCTGTTAATTTTACATCTGCCCCTGAGTCCAGAGAGCTTGGGTTCAGTTGATTAATGGAGGTCCCAGTTTTAAGGTTTCTTCACATGGTTATTTTCAAACCTTACAGTGTTCTCATGCGATGTAAGGCTGTCAGCCAACAGTATGACAGAGTCTGCTGCTAGACTCCACGTGAAGCGTGTCGTATAGCCAAGATAGGCAGAGGTCCCCACACGGCCCTCTGCAAAGCCCTCGGAGTGCCAGAATGCCCCGTGTTCTCGTGCCGAGGCGTGAAATGATTGCGAAGTATGGAAGTGTAACGTCAGTGTTGTGTGTGCCTTTGAGAAGTAGAGAGGCACGGCATGGCGTGAGAGGGTGCATGGCGTGTCTTCGTAGTGACCTTAACCACCTCCTTGTGATGTGCTTCAGAGAGCAGCTGATGTTCCCCTTCCACTTCCTCGACCGGCTCGGAAAGCACGATGTGACCTGCACGGTCTCCGGGGGCGGCAGGTCGGCGCAGGCTGGAGCCATCCGCCTGGCCGTGTCCAAAGCCTTGTGCAGCTTCGTCACCGAGGATGAGGTCGAGTGGATGAGACAAGGTACGAGGGCGGTGGGGGAGGCGGCTGCGAGACCACCCCACGCGTCTGTCTGTCTGATTCTTGTACTACTCGCCCGAAGTCCGTGAGGAACCACTGCATTAAGTGTGGAACGCTGCAGTTTGCTGGCTTCTCCTTTACTTTTTAAAAAAAGTTTATTGCACTCGCAGGTGGCGTGGTGGTTAAGGCACTGTATCCCACGTGGCCAGCTGCATGGTTTGAGTTTCTGACCCAGCCTCTTAAAAGACACGCTGCGGGGGCGGGGGAGGGAGGTAACCAGCAGTTAGCATAATGGCTATGTCGCTGGACTCCTATGTAGTCGACCGTGGTTCGCATCCCGGACCCGGTGGCTTAAAACTCACACCAGGCGCGTGTGCGTGTGTGCCCAAGATCCCGAGAGGAGAAGGGATTGCAGCGTGACCGTCCCCTCTGGGGGGTGATTTCTCGCTTTCTGTCTCTATGTCTCTCTCTGTCTGGCGAGCGCACGCGCCCTATAGCGAAAGCCTCTCAAAAAAAAAAAAAAGAAAGACACCTTTCTTGGGGGGGAGAGAGAGAGAGAGAGAGTGTGTGTGTGTGTGTGTGTGTGTGTGTTGGGGCAGGGGAGAGGCGTGCACTCAAATTCCAAGAGGAGCTTTGAGGAGAAGCATTGTGACATGGCCATCCCCCACCTCCTGAGGGGGGGTGACTTGTGACTTCTCTCTCTCTCTCTCGTGAGCACACGTGCCTTAGGGCAAAAATCTCAAATAAATAAAAGTTTATTCATTTATTTCAACCATGAATGAAAGAGATAGCACCCCAGCAGGGTTGTGGTGCCACAGTCCACCCCCAACTCCAGCCAGCCCTGGTCATGGGCAGCACAGCCTGGTATACTTAGGGACTTCTCTAGATGCAAATCCAGAACCTTCCCACGTGGGTCAGCCTTGCACAAGGTCACGGCTCCCTGCTGCACAGCTGTCCGTCCTGCGGCTTCTTCATACGTGGAGCTGAGACAGGATCTTTTAGGTTCCGTTTCTATAAAGGGAGCTTGAGTTAGAAGAAAAGCGGCCCCCCCAGATACAATTATTCGAGTCCTGCTAAAACATGCAGTCCCAAAGTCGAGGAAGTTATTTTGGCTTTAAGACATAAAACCTTTGGTCCAGTTTAACAAGTGCTTAGCTTGGTTGTGTTTAACAGGCAAACTGGTTGTTTCAGTTTTATCATATACATTTGTACTAATTATTGGGTTAATGATAAAACCTTTGAGGTAATCCTATCCAGAATTAGTGGAGATCGTCGTTTTTTCCTATTGTGAACTTGGTGTGAAGTTCCTTTTCTTTAACTCCACTCCGTGTGACCCGTCACCTGGCATGAATACTAGAGTCCCTGCACAGCACGAGAAAACAGGTGTCGTCCGTTCTTTGAGTGGGGACTGCGCTAATGTGCAGAAATCGGGGCGGTGCAGGCTAACGATTATCTCCCAGCTTATGGCTGAGGGCAAGTCACTTGGCGAGGCCTCGGGTCCCAGCCCGTCTCTGGCCAGCTACGGGGGGCCGTGTGCCGCCTGCCCTCCAGCGTCAGCTCCTGGGCTCAGTGTAAGTGCTGTCTGTGGCTTAGGCTAATACACTGTTTAAGCTTCTTAAAACTCCATTTGCGGGACCAGCAGTTAGCGTAATGGCTATGTTGCTGGATTCCCACGTAGTCGACCGCGGTTCGAGTCCCGGGCCCGGTGGCTTAAACTCATGCCGGGCGTGTGTGCGTGCGTGCCCAAGATCCCGAGCGGAGAAGGGAGGAGAAGGGATTGTGGCGTGGCCATCCCCAGGGGGGTGATTTCTCGCTTTCTGTCTCTCTGTCTCTCTCTGTCTGGCGAGCGCACACGCCCTATAGCAAAAGACTCTCAAAAAAAAAAAAGAATTTGATAGAACCTTATTTAATTCTGCTAGTTTGAACTACTGTGCAAATCTGAAAGTAATAAAAGCTGATTACTTACGATTTAGACCAGAACCTAGACTGATCTTATCTGTAGTTTGTCCAAAATATTGTTGTTTTTAGCATATATACCCTTTAAGCACAAGTAAATGCTAAAGCTTGTAGGTAAATGATAAGCAGTTTATGTTTTCCTTCGCTGTGTGGACATTACAAGCCCCCAGAAGTGCTAGAGTTGGGAGAGTAAAACCACCAGGGGAGCTTTGTAGGTTCCGTGAGGTGCTGGGAATCCAGTCTGCACTGATAGGCGTGGCCCCCTGAGGGCGCCCCCTGTGGCCACGTGCTGAGAACTCAAGCACTGCCTAGAACCAGGTGGCTCCTGGTGACCAAGGATGGAGGCCTCCATTTTAAACTGGCTTCACTGTTCTAGAGTAAACCACTCATTCTGGGAATATTTGTGAACATATCTTAGATTCTGAAACGAAAATGCAGGGAGTATTATTACCACACTGGGTCATTGGAATGACTTTTCCAGTGAGCCAACAGAGTAATCCTACCATTTGGGGACCAGACGGTAGCACAGCAGTGAAGCTCAGTGTTCTGCAAGCTCATCCCACATGGGAAGGTTCCCAGTTCAAGTCTGGAGACCTCTTTGAGTGTGGAGCGCCAGGCACATGTTGCGGGCTGAAGGCTGGGGAGGGGCTCAGTTGAAGACTGTGGGGTGGGGTGCTTTCTCTCTTTGTGTCTCTTGCTCATAGAAGAAATAAATAAACTTAAGAATAATGAAAGCGTTTTCTTTTTTCAGATATATTGGGCAAGTCGTGCTTGCACGTGTACGCACGTCCGTTTGCGGGGTTAGCATACGTGCGTCTGTGCGCGCTCACACCGTGCCACGCTCATGCCGCGCCACGCAGGCAGTTTCTGCTCTCCTCTGTCCCCATGAAAACTCGCCTCTGTGGTAACAAGTTTCACTGCAGCAAACAGTGGCAGCCTACAGGGAGCAGCTTTATTTTTTAAAATTTTGCAATGAGGCACGTGTACTCACCAGACAGAGACAGACAGAGAGAGAGAGAGAAAGCGAGGAAGCAAGCCTCCAGGTCTAGGACTCGAACCATGGTCGGCCATGTGGGAGTCCTGCGCCTTCACCATCGTGCCACCTGCTGGCCCAAAGCAGCTTTACTGTAAGCCCAACAAGTCTGAAAACTGAAAAGGAGTCACAGTTCTTACAGGATCAAGCATGCTCTGATCATGGAAGTGGCGTTTGTCTCAGAAGTTGGAAAAATGTCTGAAAGGGTGAGCGCAGAGCGCGGTCACGTGGTAACCCACCAGGGGTCTGCTCACTGTCCTGCTGTCCCCCGGACCGCCATACCGGCATCCGTGCAGCTCACCAGCCTTCCCGCTCGCTGGCTGCGTGTTCCATGGCTCACAGAGGCTTCTCTTTTTATCTGCAGCTGGACTGCTCACCACCGACCCACGCGTCCGAGAGCGGAAGAAGCCAGGCCAAGAAGGGGCCCGCAGGAAGTTTACCTGGAAGAAGCGCTGAGGTGTTTACAGGAGCACAGGGAAAGGCCAGAGAAGGCGCCCGGCCGGGGCCAGACCTTCAGGCAGAAATGCTAGAGCCGTGAGCTGGAGAGGGTTTATTTTTAAACACCACTTTGTAAAGGTTACCTGTAAGAAATAAAAATTAAAGAATGTTTTATCCCACTGCTTTATTTTTACGTTTCCAGAAGGTTCAGTGTTTGAGCAGCATACTTCATAGAACCTTGGGGACCTGGGGGAGCCAGCTGAGTCACGTGGTTGGCATAGGCGGAGTCCCAGTGGTCAGCCCAGCCAGACCATGGCTTGTTCTGTGCTGGACCGTTGCTCTGGGCCCTCTGGCCTCCCCACGTGGCAGCTGTGGTGTGTTTTCGGAAACAGAGGGATGAGAGTGCTTGCTGAGGCCGAAGTGAGCTGAGTGTGTGTGTCAGGGCCGGGCGCTGCAGAGCTGAGCTGCCAGGAGTTGGAGGGGGAGCGCCAGGCACATGTTGCGGGCTGAAGGCTGGGGAGGGGCTCAGTGTGAAGACTGTGGGGTGGGGTGCTTTCTCTCTTTGTGTCTCTTGCTCATAGAAGAAATAAATAAACTTAAGAATAATGAAAGCGTTTTCTTTTTTCAGATATGTTGGGCAAGTCGTGCTTGCACGTGTACGCACGTCCGTGTGCGGGGTTAGCATACGTGCGTCTGTGCGCGCTCACACCGTGCCACGCTCATGCCGCGCCACGCAGGCAGTTTCTGCTCTCCTCTGTCCCCATGAAAACTCGCCTCTGTGGTAACAAGTTTCACTGCAGCAAACAGTGGCAGCCTACAGGGAGCAGCTTTATTTTTTAAAATTTTGCAATGAGGCACGTGTACTCACCAGACAGAGACAGACAGAGAGAGAGAGAGAAAGCGAGGAAGCAAGCCTCCAGGTCTAGGACTCGAACCATGGTCGGCCATGTGGGAGTCCTGCGCCTTCACCATCGTGCCACCTGCTGGCCCAAAGCAGCTTTACTGTAAGCCCAACAAGTCTGAAAACTGAAAAGGAGTCACAGTTCTTACAGGATCAAGCATGCTCTGATCATGGAAGTGGCGTTTGTCTCAGAAGTTGGAAAAATGTCTTAAAGGGTGAGCGCAGAGCGCGGTCACGTAGTAACCCACCAGGGGTCTGCTCACTGCCCTGATCTCCCCCGGACCGCCGTACTGACATCCGTGCCGCTCACCAGCCTTCCCGCTCGCCGGCTGCGTGTTCCATGGCTCACAGAGGCTTCTCTTTTTATCTGCAGCTGGACTGCTCACCACCGACCCACGCGTCCGAGAGCGGAAGAAGCCAGGCCAAGAAGGGGCCCGCAGGAAGTTTACCTGGAAGAAGCGCTGAGGTGTTTACAGGAGCACAGGGAAAGGCCAGAGAAGGCGCCCGGCCGGGGCCAGACCTTCAGGCAGAAATGCTAGAGCCGTGAGCTGGAGAGGGTTTATTTTTAAACACCACTTTGTAAAGGTTACCTGTAAGAAATAAAAATTAAAGAATGTTTTATCCGACTGCTTTATTTTTACGTTTCCAGAAGGTTCAGTGTTTGAGCAGCATACTTCATAGAACCTTGGGGACCTGGGGGAGCCAGCTGAGTCACGTGGTTGGCATAGGAGGAGTCCCAGTGGTCAGCCCAGCCAGACCATGGCTTGTTCTGTGCTGGACCGTTGCTCTGGGCCCTCTGGCCTCCCCATGTGGCAGCTGTGGTGTGTTTTCGGAAACAGAGGGATGAGAGTGCTTGCTGAGGCCGAAGTGAGCTGAGTGTGTGTGTCAGGGCCGGGCGCTGCAGAGCTGAGCTGCCAGGAGTTGGAGGGGCAGGGCCGCTCGTGAAGGCAGGGCCAGAG